CCCCAAAACCCCAAAACCCCAAAACCCCATGATTATAAGTAATGAACACTGATAAAATTGATAAATCAAGAATCTTCTAGAACCAACTAGAATATTCGCAATCATGTATATTTAAGACAAAATTATGTCTAGGACTTTATTAATCATTAAATCGCAACTAAATAAACTTTACAATGGTAGATTGGAACGGACTTTTTAAATGGTCAATAAACCATCAAGATGGAACTAAACCATCAAGTTTCAAAGTGATGTCAAAGGAGGATAGAGACTGGCTTGAATCAGCCTTGAAAGAATTCACCTTTAATGATGTAGACAGAATGAGGGAAATTTGTAAAGACCTCGGAGAAAATCACTAAACTATGTCATAAGAAATTTTACTTGATCATTTGGAGGAGATACTTGAATTAGTCGAACTACATCCAAGAAGTGGTCTTAATCTGTGTCTTTGCGGGGGAATGAAGATTGTTATGGAAATTATGTTTGATAGCAAAGATAAAGAAGCTAGGAAATTAGCTTGCTCAATTTTCTCATTCTGTGTATAAAATAGCAAGGAAGTGCAAACAATTGTGCAAAAGTTAGGTGCTCTTAACTTAATGCATCAATACATCAGAGAAGAACTGCAATCTAACAAAGAAGCAGTGATTGGTGCTCTAAGCCAATATCTCAAAGGGGAGAATTTCTCAGGCAAAATGGAGTTCATTAACGATCAGTCTGGACTTTCATTTATTAAGGAAGCTTTATTAGCTTGTCCTTAAGACTAATATAGACATTCCAAGAAATTCCTTTGGGTTATTTACGATTTCTTGCTCTCAGATGACTAATTAAATATAGAAAATAACCCCACCTTCATAAGATAATATCTGTCAGATGACTAGATTCTCATATCAAGACTAATTGAGCTTTTGACCTTAGATTCTTAGAGTCAGGAGAACATATTTAATCATTAGCTTCATGAGAGAAGGGATGTGATACTTAAAATATTACAATACTTAGTCAACTAATAAAAGGAATAACTGCTTACTTAAATCTAGCCAACTCTTAATAAACTTGATCAGGAGTTGAAGAAAGGATTACTCTCTCAAGATCAGAGTAAAATAGAATATTTGGAATTGCTGGAACGAGAATTAACTTTGATAAAAGAAGTGGAATTAGCACCATCAAAAAAAATCAAGTCCAATTATGAAGAAATAGAATTTAAGCCCGTAATACATCTTAAAGACAATGAGGAAGAAAAGAAGGAGGAATAAAAACCACTAGCTTTAGGCTTTTGATAAGATAAAATCGTTTCTTATTTATGAAGGATTTTAAGACTGTGTATACCTTGTGAATGTATAAGTAAACTATAAATATGAAGTTTATGTTTAAATTTGTATAATATATCTGCAAATTATTCTATTCTTATGTATTTAAACTCATGGGGTTTTGGGGTTTTGGGG